ATATATATATATATATATATATATATATATATATATATATATATATATATATATATGTGCTCACACATGAAAACACACGTGATATACGCGGAAATGAATTGCGATGGGCACGTGGATACATTGATATTGATGTGCAATGTACACTTAACGCGTCATTTCTCACATAGCATTAATGTTTGAGAGGCACTTTAGGATCGTAGTTGTTACTTGAATACGAATAACGATAGACATTACTTAACATTTGTGACACTCAAGTGAGAAAGTTAGAATCCAGAATTTGATGAAAGTTTTTCGGTCAATTCGCGACTGCAAATACAGAAATGTTGCATATATAAAATTCTCAATTAAAGGATTTGAATGTAACTTTAAATAAAAATCTGAGTAGCTCACATGAAACAAGCTTCAGGTGACATTTATATGGGACGTCTGAAGGACATCTCACTTCTTTTCAGATGTCTTTAGGATATCTCCAAGACATTTTAGACATTTGTGTTGTGTTGTGTTGTGTTGCTTCTCAAATCTTACCTAGCTTACCTAGTCTTTGCACCTTTCTAATGTCTTTATGCCTTTGTAACTTTCTTTATATTTTTATGTCTCAAACTATACTCGACATGAATTCTTATGATCATCCTCTGTTTCTTATGTTGAAGTGTTATGATAAAGCCATTTACTTCCTAGAATCGAGAATTGCTTTATTTAATTGCTTTATTGAAGAATTGCTTAATTTTAATTGCTTTATTTCATAATCGAGTTGTTTAGTGGAATGCAATGTTGGATTTATTACAGAATTCAAACGGTTAGTAAATCGTCAAACTCTACGTCAGACTCGTCAACGCTTTCATTCTTCATACTTGCATGAGATATCTCCGCACATTATCGGAATGAAAATCTGTTTGTCACATCGATGCAAAATTTATAACTCACAGCCATTAGCAATGATATATCGTTCGAAAATACGGTAAAGCTTCGCGGAGTGGAGCGCAGAAATCGCATGATAACTCGAGCGACGCGTATCGTCGAGCTGTTTCACAGCGACCAAGGCGAACCGCTTCGCTCTCCAACTCGTCATCACCGCCACTTTAGTCACGCTTCAGCGTGCCAGTATACGTCGCGATACTTGGCGCACAATTTATATCTTTCTATTATTTTCCGATCTTCTAAGATGACAATCGAACGATATTAGTGTATGGAGGGAGGGAAGGAAGTGAAAAGAGAGAGAGAGAGAGAGAGAGAGAGAGAGAGAGAGAGAGAGAGAGAGAGAGAGAGAGAG